GAAAGTTAGAGTGCTTGGTTGTTAAGTAAGTTGAGGTTGTAACTGTGGTTAATTGTTTCAGGAACTCAAGAATTTGCAGACCTTAAGCTAGAGTGAGAGGATATATTAAGGGATGTGCTAAATCATGCTCATAAGGACTAAGGAGATGTGTATAGCTAGTAACCTTCACAATTAGATGCAAGATGCTATGAACGCAGTCAGGAAATTAGAGGACAAGTTGGTTAAGTTAAATAAGGTAAGGCAAGAAGTTGAAGATAAGATGTTTGAGCTCTGCAAAGAAAAGCAGAATGCAATCAATAGTACCATCCAGATGAAGCTGGAGGTGGCTAAGCTCTGTAAGGACAAGCAAATTTGATTGATAAATTGAGCCAAGTTAACCAACAGATGGTTAAATTAAATAGGTTGCCTGACTGTCCAAATGTAATTTTCTACTTTTCATATTTTGTTTAGACATTTAACGTGTTGCAGTTTTATGTGTGTGTGTGTGTCAGTATATGTACTTAATTGGAATCTTTTTTCGCTTTTTCTGTTGCCTAGGAGGATGCTCAAACACTGACTAATAGCTTAAGCAGGGATAAGAAAAATGCACTTGAGGGCTAATCAAGCTTGACATGCAAAAGTTAAGTTGCAGGTTGAAGTTAGCGATCTCAATTTTGATCTAGGGTAGATTAAGACTGATTTGCTTGGTTTTCAAGTTGAGGTTTTATTCAAGGCTGACATTAAGAAGTTGTTGCAAATATGAATTTATTCCAATAATAAGCTGCTAAAGGTTAGTAGTTGCTAAATTTTTTAAAACATTAGTGGGTTAGCCTTTGGTAGTGGGGTTATGAAGTATCTTTGATCTTTTGCTTATATAGGAATTTACTCAAGATTAATATAATCAATCTAGAATTTATTGACTTCTTAGGACATCAATAAAAATGTATATACATATTGTAGTTCCAATTCTTTATTTGAATTACAGAGTTTACGTAGTATGTCATATATAAACTTTGTATATAAGTCATATGCAGAGTTGTTTATCTATAACACATATGGCCCTTTGTTTGCATTTGTTTTGAGATGGCAACCAGAAATTTCTTCTACCCTTTTCCTCTTAGCGGTCACGATTATGATACAGATGAGAATTGAATCACTTGGCGTAAATGATTGAGCTTCTCGAGATGGTGTTGTGAGAGACATCTCATGGTGGAAAAATGGGACACAATTTACTTCTATCCCGCAACGAAACCATCAAAGTGTAGCTCTTCCGCCATCTTCAGTCACACCCATGTCTAGGTCTTCAATTAGATGATTGAATATATAGTAGTTTTAATTCTTTATTTAAGAATTTTGGTTTCTTTATAAAAAATATTTATTTTGCACATATGTTGTTTGATGAAATGCTTACATATGATATAGAAAAACAAAATTTTAATTGCATTTATAGTAGTATACTTTAAAATGAACTCAATATTCAATATTACTATATTCTTGCTTATTCTTTACTATATTCTTGAAGATTGTTTTATCTACATTTTACTACATCCTTGCTTTGTTTTATCTATATATTACTATATTTCTTGCAGATTGTATGAGTCATTTGAAACTCTTTGTCTACCTATCCATATGGCATTGTGATTCCATCCTTTGAACGTAAGTTCTGCTTATTCTTAGGTGCAAACGCGAGTCTAAAATGGTTAATTGAAGAGAGTAAAACAATCAAGCATGAACGGAAACAAGAACAACAATCTTTAGTTCTTGACACCTTGAGGTAATGCATGAACTAAAACATAAGCTTTTTTACACTTGGATAAAGGGGTAGACTTTAAGGTCCTCAATTATTTTAAGGGAAAACTATCAAATAAGCCCCCGTACTATACCGAAAAAGTCGATTAGGCCCTCGTACTTTACAAACACTCAATTATGTCCTCGAACTATTAAAAAACGTTCAATTAAGCCCTTTCGGTCGGTAAGTAACCGGTTTCCCGGTTAAATGTAAACCGTTTCCCGGCAGCCGCCGTTGTTGGGGTTCGAGCACATCGTCGCCGTCGCCGCCGTTTAACCGGGAAACCGGTTACTTACCGACAGAAAAGGTTTAATTGAACGTTTTTTAATAGTCCAAGGACTTAATTGAGTGTTTGTAAAGTATGAGGGTCTAATCGATTTTTTCGGCATAGTACAGGGGCTTATTTGATAGTACAGGGTCTAACTGATAGTTTGATAAAATGCTCAGTTGATCTTTTTTTTTTTTTTTCTAAATAACATTGCTCCATGTCTGCATTTCTAGACGGTAATTCTAAAATTTTAAGCTTTAGCATTCATGCTAAAGCTTTTTATTTTTCTGAGTTTTTATCTTTGAGTGTGATCAATTGAATTTTTGGTTCCATTTTCTGCGAGTAGCCTGTAGGGAGTGTTAGCTATGTGTGAAATGCTTGAAGTTGAGGCTAGACCTATACGGCTATACTGTTTTGCTCTTGCAATTACATACTCCATTGTAGGTAGGCTGGAGCTATGTTATGAAAATAGCATATGTATGAAACCCTGGTGGTTTGTTTTACACGGGTGACACATTGTTTGAGAATATATGCTATTAATGCAAAGCGTAAAATGTACTTACTTCAGTGAAAGATTTTAGTACTCCGTATATAATATTACTATTGCTATTATTAGAAAAACAGTGTTCTTAAATGATATGGAGTACATTATCCATTTCCAGAAAAATTAATAGATTGCTCAATATAGGATAAAACGATATCTAAAGTGCAAAAACGAGACAAATTATATTTTATTTCCTAAGTAGGACTCATATAGTCCTTTAAAAGAATAAGCTAAGAAAATTTCTCCAAATAGCAGTTAGTGAGTCCTATTTTGAGAATAAAACATTGATATTCATATTTATGAACTTTGTCGTTGTTTTAGTGGTATTTAGGGAATTTTCTCTAAAATTAATATAGCTTCAGATGTTAGCATTTTGACTTCAAACAATTCATATATTTGGAGAAATAATTGTGGTTGCAAGTGCTTGGCCGCCGCTTCCCCGCTGCTGCCACCCATGCACTAATTGGATTGTGTTGGGGAATCAGGGATAGAAAAAGAACGAATGATGCTATTTAGGGAATATAGAATATGAAACATATACTATCCTCCGTTTCTTTATAATCGCAACATGTTGAATTTTACACTATTCACGTGTTCTACTTTGACTACATTTTACGGTATTATTTTACGAAAATTATTTTTAAAAAAAGATATTGTTCAATTCATCTCATTACAAATTTTCAAAATCTGATTTTTAATTATTTTTAACTAATAGAGATTAAGATATAATTACGGTCAAAGATTTGCATTGACAAATGTGAAATGTTGACCGTTGCAACTAAAAAAGAACGGAGGAAGTATGAGTGAACGATGCTACATTACTACGCTACTATGCGATAGACTGGGCTATTCATTTAATTTGTGTTATTATAGTTTTACACATCTCAATGAATGATGCTACCAAGAAATGGCTGGGCAATTAATGCAAAGCTAGATAACCTCCAAACGTTCACTCTTTCTCTACTTAGATAGTGATGGCAGGACAATTCCATGTCAAATTTGAATATCGGGAAGTGGAACAATTTACAACCAACAGAATAATTCTGTGATACTTCGTATAATGTATTGTTGGGTTGTCTCTAAATTGCAAAGACCGTTGGCGTGAGTGAACCAGCCGCACCAGTTTGGGTTGTGCAGGAAAAAAAAATTATAAGGTGAACCATTGATGTAAGCCATTAGTTTTGTTCGCCCTAATCAATAGTAGTACATACATATGGAGTATGAAGCATCGTGCCCGCCTATAATCCTACGGTTGTGCAAATCTGTGTAATTTGATCATGTGTAGATATTACATTCCTAGCAGTGCACTTGAATGTGTATTCTTAACTAGGAATTTCGTTGACCAAAATGTTTATTTTCATGTGGATCGTTTCTTTTCAACTCTGCTGCAATTTAAGATAGCTAAAAGCTTGCTGTTTCATGCTCATATGATTAAGTTTATTATTGGTTGCTGCCAACTGCCAAAAATGTTATAGATTGTCAGCTTCTTGGGGCATCCTCCAAAGTCCAAAGGTTCTGTTAAATATATGGGTGTGCAAGTTTGTGTGAGGAGATACAAACCTAGCGACCCCGGTCCCCTGCCAACTAAATGCACTAAATGTGTAAAACGTTCTAAAATTAGTGTCAAGATATTCATTCTTTTATTCATTATTCACTTTATTATTTCATTAGTAAGGATGGATAATGTTTTTGGTGATACGAAATTACGAATGCAGGAATGAGATTTGCATGGTTCACCAAAGGAAGACTAAAGTAGAGTACTCGGATTTTGTAAAATTCTCACGTTAATTCATACTTACATTTGGTGATTGTATTTTATATTTAGCAAATAAAATGAAACATAATCACAATTTGTGGTTGCTTATTGATTTTCATGTTAAGTAACTAAATTTAGCCGGTATCAGAACTTATGCTCTATTGTACCCATTGTTACTACATTTTTTAACATTATGAAATTAATAAATCTTTGTATAACAATAATTTGTGTTTGTTTATTCTATTTAAATGAACTATGATATATCTTTCAATATAAAAATGAAGTAATATTATTTCAGCACAAAATTGGTTTTACCTCTAGCATATAGTATGAAGACTATATCTTAAGTTTACTTTAATGCAAAATGACCTGTTGGCATAAATGACATTTAAAGCTATATAATATTGTTTGGCCGTGAACTGTATATTTCTAAATAAAATGTTTAAGCTTGGATATATTGTTGTTATATATTCTGTATATATGTGAAAATAAACATTTATATTTTGTATGTATGTATGTATCATAATACTATATGTATGTCACACATAAATGCCTGCATCGATATATGACTAAAAGCCTGCATTTATTATTTATTCTCTTTAATATTTCTAAAATATCATCGTTATTTGTTAATTTAAATTTTAAATTCAATTCTCGTGCATCACACGGGTATTATACTAGTGTGTGTGTTTTGGTTCAAATAAGAACACCATCTAATGAGATAAATAAGAAACAATCTTGGCCATTAGATCAACTGATTTTCTCAGATTCTCACGTGTGGGTTTGGAGGCCAAGATGGTCATTGCAACATTTCTTCCCTTTTGTACATACGTATCTTTCCTTCTATATTTCTTTCCATTATATTTTGTCAATTAATTAAACATTTTATTCCATTCCTTTTGAGTTACGGATGCCATTCCATGTACGTGAAATCAAGCTGCTCGACTTTCTGACTATCTCTTCCTCCCCAAAAACTCCGAAGCTCCATTGATGGATAAAGGTCCGTTGTTTTTGCCATCTTTTTTTGTTGTACGTATTTTTTGTTTCGTTTTTTATTTTTTATTTTCTTAAATAAGCTTCATCATTTATGTTTATTTCACTCGTGTAGTATCTTTACAAATATCTCCTGGGTCAACTAAGTTTCATCGTTAATTTTCATCGTTTATGTGGTGTTTCTTTATTTCTACGTATTTTTTTGTTTCGATTGTTTTTTTATTTTCTTTGAATAAGTTTCATCGTTTATGTTTCTTTATTTCACTCGTGTAGAAGCTTTACAAATATCTCCTGGGTCAACTAAGTATTGGATCCCTGAATGTGATGAAACATTTAAACCAAGGCTTGGCATGGTATTCAAAACCCTTGAGGACGGTATTGAGTTTTATAAGCAGTATGCGGGTGCTTGTGGCTTCGACTCTCGTATTGGTTCTCAAACTAAGGACCGCTGGCCTAGGACAGACACTATTGTGTGGAAATATGTTGTGTGCAATAGAGCGGGTTTCAAAAATGTTGCTAAACTCAAGCCGCTAGAATCCAGTCATTCTCCCGTTTTTAGCGTTGTTAGTGATGAACAACCAGAATGCTCACATAATGACGTAGAGGCTCACATTTTTCCCAAGCAACCAGAACCCTCCAATGCTATTCCGGACACCTAGGAAAAAAAACAGAGGCGTCGTGTATCAAATTGTGTTGGCTGCAAAGCACATGCACATAAGATTGAGACTCAATGGTCTTAAGGGATATGCATGTTATAACGTTATTTGAAGAGCACCACAATCATCATATGTCATCTGTGGATGCAAGACCGTTTCTTAAAGTCAACAGGAAGTTGGATTTTGGTCATCAGAAGTTTGTTCTCAATTGTGCAAAGGCTAATATTGGAACTATGAAATTGTACCGGCTGTACAAGGAAACTGTTGGAGGATATTGCAATATTGGTGCAATGGCTGTTGATTTCAAGAACTTTAAGCGAAATTTGAAGGCATACATTTCGGGTGTGGATGCACAAATCCTAATTGATAAGCTTTTTTGGAAGCAAAAAACTTGTTCAACTTAAATTTTTGAGTATGACGTTGAGGAAAGTGATCAATTGACACGTCTTTTCTGGGCTGACCCAATCTGCATAAAGAATTATGCTTTTTTTTTGGAGATGTTGATATGCACTCATTAGTGGTGCATAAATGTATCTTTTTATGTTTGATTTGTGTGGATTGTTTACCATTTTATTTAGTTTGTAAAGATTTGTGTGTTTTTAGTTGTAATTGTATTTTAGTTCTCATTTGTAAGTTGTAAAGTAGAGTTAGGATTTATGGTGTTGGAAAGGAAGACTTTGAAGTGAAGAAAAATGATTATTGGCTGCCCAGGACAATCACCCGGTCGGGTGAGGTTTTGCACCCGGTCGGGTGAGACTTTGAAAAGCGAAGGTGGCTGGAAACTACACTCACCCGGTCGGGTGAGGTATTTCACCCGGTCGGGTCAGATGTGACCCGAGACAAAACGACGTGCTGAAACACAAGAACGTGGAAGATTATTTGATTTTGACATGCACCCGGTCAGGTGGGCACTTGACCCGGTCGGTTACCCGGCCCAAGGTGTTGAAAAACACCTATAAATAGCACACTTTTCCTTCACAAAAAAATATTTCTTCTTCCATACTCTTAAGCTCAGTTTAGAATAGTATTTCTTTTATATTTTTATAGCATGTTTAGTCTCCAAATGAGGAGCTAAACTTCCAATTCTTGGTGTTGCTTTTGAAGCTTGTTGATTATTAAAGTTGTGAGTTATTTTCTTAACTTCTTCCCTTGAATATTAATTCTTCCCTTAATCTATCTATATATTAATGTTGGGCGGTGTTGCTAAGATGACAATTAGTTAACATCTCGACATTAGTTATAGTAGTATTCATTTACTTCCTATATATTAATGTTGGGGAGTGTTGCTAAGATGACAATAAGTTAACATCTCGACATTAGTTATAGTAGTATTTATTTTCTTCTTCTATATATTAATGTTGGGGAGTGTTGCTAAGATGACAATTAGTTAACATCTTGACATTAGTTATAGTAGGATTTATCATCTTCAATATTCTTCCTTGAATATTAATTAATTCCTATTCATATTTCATATTAATATTTTGAACATTACTTAAAAGATCAACTAGTTTTGTTTCATATATTAATTATTACTAGAATCGATCGACGAATACGCTTGTTAATCGTTGATGGTTTCACAAGTAGGTAACTTCGGTTTATTATTGCACGGTCGTGGTTAATAAACTTAAGAGGGATTAATTTTGTTGGTTAAACTGAAACCGTTGTGTTGAGGTTATCAATCTCAGTTGAGTTTATCAAGGAGTTAAGAGATTAAATGCTACTATCAAGTCGGTATATGGCGGTGTTCTATACTTGACTAATAGTAAGGGTTATTAATGAACGGTCGTTGTTAATAACTACCCTCGATGAATTGGATATACTTCTCGATTGAGTATTCGAGAGGGGATAAGTTATAGATATAACAATGATCGACTAAAATATATCAACAAGTGGAAAGTAGCAATGCCAAGTCCTTTTTATCTTTGAATTAAATCTCATATAAGTCGTTCATCTTCGTATTTAATTAAAGTAAATCACTCAATTCCAAAACCCTCCTTATTTACTAGTTTTACTAAAAAGAGAATTATTCCTTTCCCTGTGGATACGAACTCTACTTCACCTATAATACGTATAAGTGCTAGTATCGAATATTATTTTGACGCACCATGACAAAGTGCTCATCAGATGTGCTTTCCTTTGATGCTACACATGGGACTAACAGGTTTTCCACTCGTACATATTAATTATCACCAATTTCAAGCATCGGTTTAATTGTTTAACATGTAACTGTGTGTACACTCGAACAATATTATCTGCACAACTAATTCACATGTTTGATTTAAATGTAGTTTCAATAAAATGTGATTCATTGGTTTAATATTATTATGCACACGATCTCTTGTAATTTGTAACTTGGCACATCAGCTTAACACACTTCTGTTTGCAGATACAACATGGTTTTTGCGCCTTTCACCGGTGTCGACAATCACAAAAATGTGTGACATTTGGTGCAGGTCTTCTATTTAAAGAAGACGTTGAATCATATGTTTAGTTGTTCCGTTGTTTTCTAAATGCAATGGGACACGCACCTAAGTGTATTGTTACTGATCAAGACCCGTCTATGAGGATTGCAATTGAAAAAGTTTTTCCCAATACTCGCCACCGTTATTGCATGTGGCACATAATGTCTAAAGTCACAGAGAATGTTGGTTCTCTTCTTAGCAGTAATGATGATTTTTTGTCCAAGCTTAATTATGTAGTTTGGAGTCACTATCTTTCACCCGAAGATTCTGTAGTGGAATACGATTTAGTGAGCCACACTTGGTTATCTCATATGTTTTCCATTCGACGTTATTTGATCCCAGGTTTTTTTTAGGGATTTATTCATGGCCGGTTTACTTAGGACCACATCGCGATCCGAGAGCGAAAATATTTTTTTGGTGAGTTTACTAACCCTCATTTCAGTCTTGTTGAGTTTTCCATGCAGTTTGAGAGTGCAATGGATGCTCAACGACACAACAATTCGAAATTGAACCACATTTCTGACTCTTGCACACATGTTCACAGCACATCGCTACCCATCGAGAAGCATGCATCATCTGTCTACACTCTCTCCATGTTTCTCATGTCCCGTTGTAAGCGTTCAAGAAGTCAATGGTGTGCGTGAATACGTTATCAATGATGAGCGCGATATGGTTTTCAATGTTGTGCATTCTTTAATTGCATCTACTACAACATGCAGTTGCAAAGACTTTGATAGAGTTGGGTTGGTTTGTCGACACATTTTTGTTGTGTTTAAAGACCTTAAATTGCACACCATTCCTGATGACTTTGTTCTAAGTCGTTGGTGTAAAAACAATATCATTAAGCCCATGTTTGACATTGGCGATATCGTTTTGACCAATGTGTGACTAATGAGGAGAGAAAGTTACAAGTCAATCGATTATGGTCTGCCATTCATTGTTGTGTTGCTATCATTGAGGATAAGCCGGTTCTGTTTGATTAGTTTGCACAAGTAATTAAGGAACAAAAGAGTTGTGGCAAGCGCTTAAAAGGTGGCAAAGAAGTGGCAATACAATCAAAGAAGAAGTTAAGGCTGTGTAGAACTTGTAATGACTAATGAGATGTGTCACCATGATAGCCTTAACTGCCCCATGAATAAATCGGCTTGAAATTTGCTACCTACCCAAGGTTGCTTTATGATTTATTTCTACAACTCGATGCTCATACATGACTTGCTTTGATTGTCTTTGTTTAATTTTCTTTGTTATTGTTAGTCATTATATTTCATGATTACAATGTTATGGTTGTTTCCAGTCATTAAATTTGCACTTTTTTTTGTTATTCATCCTTATTAGTGCAAATTGATTTACCTGTAATCAACCCTTATGTTTGGTCACATAATTATCATTGTGAGCACAATGATATGGTAATTTATTGCACGCTTTAATATTGAAGAACAATCATCACCGACACACAAGTAATTAGTCATACAATTTGCACACTTTTTTTGCACGTATAAATTCTAATAATGCACAATTTTGTCTCGTTTGTGTTGAGGTTATCAGTCTCAATCGTTTTCATCTTAAGTTTATTGCTACTATCGGGTTAGTATACGGCGCGTGTTCTATATTGACTCGGTAGTAAGTTTTATTAATGAACGCGTCTCGTTATTAATAACTACCCTCGATGAAATGGAGATATTACTCAATTGAGTATTCGAGAGGAAAATAGTCAAAGATATAACCGGGATCGACGAACATTTCATTAAGTGGATATAAGCAAAACCAAGTCTTCATCTCTAATTAATTAAACCACATAAGTCGTTCAACTTAGTGTTTAAATATACTTCAAGTTCAACAACTTAAAAAACCCCTTTGTTACTAGTTCTATAAAAGAGAAGTACTACGTATTCATTTCCATGCGGATACGAACCTTACTTCGTTATACTACGTATAATCGTTGTATTGAATATTATTTTGAGGCACACCACGAAAAAGTGCTTGTCAGTGATCTTGCATGGGTCGCTCATAGGTGGGCCATGCGACATATGTGGCCGGTACATATATGGATGTGATGGGCGTTGTCCAAAATATATTTTTGGTAAGCCGGCCATGTTCATCGCCATCACGTCCAAGTCCAACCCTTATTGCCCTGAAATTAAAGAACAACTATCCTTTGTGGATGAAGTTCAAAATCGGCCAGAACTTGTTGGGGGCGCATTCCGTGCCCGTTTGGAAGACTTAAAAAAGTATATCATAAAGAAATCTTTGTTTGGAAGGGTGTGGTTGAATACACATAAGCAATCGAGTTTCAACAACACGCGCAATGTGCCTTTCCCACGCGCACTGCCTTCTCATCTTGGCAAAGGATTGTAAAATTTCTACTCTCGCGCAATGTGATTGGCTCATTACTGTTGAGCTCCATGCATCGTCATGTTAAGAAGCATATGATACATGGCCCTTGCAGGTGTATCCTTTCAAGAGAGATGTTTGGTTGAATTTCTCATTTAGGATTATTCTATTGTTGTTTTACAGGTGTATGAGAGGTTTCAGCACAGGTGAATGATGGACAAATTTACAAGATGTAAAGATTTTCTTCCTAAATAGCGGTTCAAGATTTTTGGCTAAAATACATCTTAAGAGGATATTTCAAGCAAACAATTTATACATATAAAACGCGGTTATATATTTTCAAAAAAATATTTAACCGACTCTCCAATTGATTTTTAGCTAAAATTTTGCGGACATAATCTACATTTCACTGAGAACATGCTCACAACATTTAATCTAAATATTCAACTGGAAATCACCTCAAAACGAGGTGGCCGGACAGCGATCATGTCCGAAAATTCTGGACGAGAATATTTATGTATGTGTGTACTCAAACTAAAGCAAAAAATCCATCCAATACTATGAACATCTACACTCAGACAGACTCATGCCAAGGATCAATATCTCGGCCACACATGGAAACAAACAAAAACACATCACACGGAGAGAGGATATACCTTACAGT